GAAATTAGTGTTGTGTTGATTCTGTAGTCTTACATGTACATAATTTGTAATTTTATTTTAATTTTATAGTGGTATAAGAGTTATAAGCATAAGGAATTTTTTTTTTTTTTTTTTGCTAGGGAAAATTCACCCTGAGCTGACATCTGTTGCCAATCTTTCTCTTTTTGCTTGAGGAAGATACGCCCTGAGTTAACATCTGTGCCAGTCTTTCTCTATTTCGTATGTGGGTCGCCACCACAGCATGGTGCCAATGAGTAGTGTAGGTCTGCACCCCCTACTGAACCCAGACCGCCAAAACGGAGTGCGCCGAACTTAACCACTAGGCCACAGGGCTGGCCCCAGCATAACGACTTTATACATGGTTTATGAGCATACATATTTAAGTAATATTATAATATTAATAAGTCAACATCAGTGGTTCAGGAGAATCGTTTCCCTTAAAAGAGGTCTGAACCTTATTCCGGCTTGGGAACTAATGGGCTACAGAATTAAACCAAACTTTAGCCTGGTCTACAAGACCTTCCGTGCTCTAGCGCTGCATAATACCACAGCTTCGTTTCCTGTCACTCTCCTACTCAAATCTGAGGTCCTGACAACACTTGATTTCCATGTTTTTATTCTAGCTGTTTCCTCCACCCAGAACAACCATCTAAATCTACTCGGCTAAAATAACAAGCATCACAGCTCATAGACAGGCCTTGAGATTTTACTCCTCTCAGAATGATAATTAAGGCTTACTTCCTCAACTGAATAAAATGATACAGTATGTCTAGCATCTCTAATGGTGAAATGTGCATGGGGGATTCTCCCACATTATTGTGAAGTTTGGACCAGGCACCTGTCAGGCCACAAATGGGAGCCAACAGAGTCCCACTAAGCCATAGAAGCCCAAATCGATAGGCCAGCCCGGATGGAGCCTTCTCTCTAAAACAGGCCTAGGCAGACTGGAAGAGCTGTCACTCCCAGCATTCCCCAAAAACTTTCTCAAGTGTTTTTCTTTTTTTTTTTTTTAAAGATTTTATTTTGCTCCTTTTTCTCCCCAAAGCCCCCTGGTACATAGTTGTATATTCTTAGTTGTGAGTCCTTCTAGTTGCGGCATGTGGGATGCCACCTCAGCATGGCTCAATGAGCAGTGCCATGCCCACGCCCAGGATTTGAACCGACAAAACACTGGGCCACCTGCAGCAGAGTGCGCGAACTTAACCACTTGGCCACAGACCGGCCCCTCAAGTGTTTTTCTTTATAGATACGGGCTTTTGATCGGAAGAAGAGATAAGCAACTTTACATTGGTGATAGCTTTTTTGGCATGAATGTCAGCTCAGGAAAATTAAAAATCTATGCAGGCTGTGTTTATTTTTGATTCAAAATAATTCATTTATTGAGTCCCATGAGGAAAAGATATATACCCTTAAAACACAAGTTATATACTTCATTGATTACAAGACCACCAATGAGAAAAGTCAGCATTGCTTTTCAGCTACTAAAATGGTACTGTCTGAGCATATTTGAGAAGTAACAATACCTGAGCATGTTTTTAAACTCTGATACTAAAATTAGACCTAGGTGGATGACATGTGGCCTGCAGCTGGCAGGCCACTGATCTAAAGGAAAAGAAAGAAAAAAAGATTCCTGCTTGAGTCAGTCTAAGTTTATATTGCTCAGGAATTCAGAAAAAGCTTGAAATTTATATCTATTTTACTTTCTATTTGCTTGTAGGTTCTTAGAGTTCTAATCAAACATCAGGTTTTAAAAGACTTATCTAAAAAATGCTTATCTGTTTATTTTTTAATATTTCTTGATTTATTTATACATATGCTACTTGCATTCTATATTCTATGTGTAGCAAGTTCAAGAAATTTTTTAAGTTTTTTTCTTCTAGATTTGTTCTATTTACCTAAAGTGGTGTTTCCCAAAAATAATCCATGGAGTACTAGTTCTGCAAGATACCCTGAGAAAAAGACATTTCCAAAGTCAACTAAGTTTGGGAAATATGTATGTGATATCCAAGTCATATCCATATTTTAGCTAAATATTCTGAGAAATCCTACAATAATAAAGCCTGTTTAGCCTTGTTTAATTCAGCATTTCCCAGACTTATTTAAACTTGACATAACAAAAATAATTTTTTTAGAGAAGCATTTAGCATCCTACAGAACTAGCGTTCTGCTGAAAATGCTTTGAGAAATGCTGATCCAAAGTCATCTTTTAAAAAAGAAAAAAAAAAGGACTTCCCAGAGGGGAAGGAATTCTCAAACGGTGAAAAGTGATGCTGAGGAGAGGGGAGGGATGATCCTTATCAGTATCCAGCTGAGTGAGGCTGAGAGAAAAGGCTGTTAAGCTCACAGAAACTGGGGTTGCTTCAGCCAACCCAGACATTTTAAGTCCAGAAGATTCCATTCAGGCTGAAGCAACGTGAGCAATCTTGAGAGAGGCAGGAAAACAACAACTTCTATTTCTGCTTCAATTCATTAATTGCTTGGGATGGGGAAGGCACTATACAAATATTATCTCTAATCACATAAAACCCCTGGGAGAGAGGTTTTATCCTCCCAGTATTAGAGATGAGGAAACAGAGGCTGAGAGAGAGTGACATGATTCCAGTAGAAACAGGATTTGGTCTTAAGCCTTTCTTACTGCATCATACTAACTCAGTCTGTAAAGCATCTTCATTGAAGCAACTGCTCTCCGTTTGCTCTCTAAGCCACTGATTACCCTCCCTGGAGCTTTCTCTAACAGAAATAATTCCAGAATAAAACAGGTTAAGCCGCTGATGACTTTGGCCCACTTAAGCATACCAAGTCTTGTTTCTACCATGAACCAAATATTTGCACATTCTAAATCAGACAAGACCTGTGATCACCTAGGCATGGCATGGGATTTTGAAATTACTTCCCAAGGCTCTTTAAGAATCACACAAGGAAATCAATCTTAACATCCAAAGGCAAATTCAAAAGGCTAGAGAGGCCAAGCAGGTAACATAAATGAGGAACTCTCTTTAAGATAGTCTCAGTGGTGACAGCTACTGAGTTTTAGACAAGAACAATCACAGCACAGAGTAGAGATAAAGTAAATACTCATCAAGTAGAAAAACTGAGTTCCTTCCTTCCTATAAAGTCCCGTGTATCTCACGCTACCTACCTGATTATTTCCCTCACCAGTAATGCACGATCACCTATGCCTTCCTAATACAGTGAGGCGAACTGTGACTGCAAAATTTGTCACTGACATCACACAGATGGCTCAAGGACAGAGATGAGCAGTGGAAGGACATTGAGTGAAGGTGGAGAGGTTTGTAGTGAGATTGTCACAAACAAAGCAGGACACTGAAAAGCAGTGGTCAGGGCTGAGTTTGCATACACATTTGGACAGGTTTTGCATGGGGGCAGAAACAATGGAATTGAGGATGGAGCCCTGATTCAGCCCACCTCATCAACTTCCACCATTTGCCTATCAGCCCAGCCCATGCTCCCTGGCCCAGGAAAGGGGAGTTCACAAGCTTCTCCCAAGCCTCCAGCTTTCTCTCATTGCAGAAACACTCCCTAGGTCCCAGCTCTGGCACTCCTCTCACAGGGTCTCTGCTCTCTACAGGAAGAGGAGACATTTTCACCATCAATTGCTCAGGCTTTGACTGGCATGGGGTAGATCCTGCTGTCTTCCAAGGAGTGTTTGCCAGAAACAGCTTCCGTCCTGTCCTCGACTACAACAGCCCCACACATGTCAATATCTCCTTCACTTTGTCAGCCATCCTGGAAGTAGTAAGTCCTGGCTCAACCTTGCAATGGTCCAGTGGTGAGCAGTGGGTACCCTGATTGGATTTTGTAAAATTAAGAGCTCGTTCTGTGGGGTGGGAGAGATGACAGGAAGTGCTACAATGACATCACTGCAGGTAAAATCTGTCTCTTTTTGGAATACTCTACTAGAAACACAATCCCAATGGGCTCTCATACTGGTTGTTTCACTTACATTTCCCATGTACCCTGGATTATTTGACCTATATTTTTCAGTGGCTTATGAACAAAAATCATTATTGCCACATAGAACAGCCTTGGAAATGAGTAAGAGGTGGGTGGTGGCATTGGAGTTAATCACAGAGTTAATGATCTTGGATGAAAAATGTTTTTCCAGAATGAACAACTTCAACTGATGACATCGTTCCTGTGGCTAAAACTGGTATGATAAACTCAGTTTCCCCTTCACCACGCTACCTCCTTTTTTCCACTCCTAGGTCCAACTTTTCAAATTATGGTGGATAAAGCCAAGAATATCCATGATTTAGATAAATTCAAACAGAGCCAGACCAACAGTAAAAACACAAAACATCCTGATTTTTCTGCCAGTCTAAGAGGGCAGAGATGGAGCACAGGGAGAAGGCGCCATAAACCAAGGCCATGGAAGCCAATACTTAAGTGGCTTCATCCCAGGGAATCCAAAGCCAAGCTCGCAGTCTCCCTGGAGAGCACTGAGGGAGAAGTGGAAGCAAGTAAGACTTTGTTAGTGACATTGTGACAGCTGTCACCAGAGAGGGGATGGGAGAATGAAGAAATGAGCAGGGAAAAGAATGCAAAATGCAGGGGACAGAGCAAGACTAAAACTAGTTTCTACCCCCTGTTCATTCCACACCATGGTTTCCTTTAGATCTAGTACCATCCATTCATCAGGTGGAACCCAGAAGAATGTGGGGGCATCAGGCATCTCAGCATAGCAACTGAGAACCTATGGCTTCCTGATATCTTCATCAAGGAGTTGTAAGTATCAAGGCTGAAAAAACATGAAGGACACATATCTCCAGGGGAGGGCACAACGTAACTGATAGGGGCCACACAATAACTCAGCTTAGAAATGAGCAATGTCTGAACTGAGGAGCTTACAAAACCCTCAGAACATGGAGATAGGTGGAAGGGTGGAGTCAGATGAGTGGAGCTAGAGCACAGAAATGGAGTGACCTGGGGGACAAAGTTCAAGTCTGATGAGAAAACCACAGCACCCACCTCCTCCCTGTCCTTCTCACATACAGCATGGATGTGGATCAGACACCTACAGATCTCATGGCTTATGTCAACAGTGAAGGTCAAATCAAATACAATAAGCCAATGCAAGTGATCAGCATCTGTAACCTGGACATCTTCTATTTCCCCTTTGACAAACAGAACTGCACATTCACCTTCAGCTCTTTCATCTACCCTGGTGAGTGAGGCTCATTATAATAGCCTGGTGAGAGGCAGAGAAAGAGTTTTGAGAGAGAAGAGGCGAGAAAGCTGGGAACAGTGAGAGAATCTCACTGAAAGGGTTGTGGAGGCTTACTGACGAGGAACCCAATAGTCCGGGCAAGGGGTTGGAACCCTCTGGGGAGGCTGAGTTGTCTGGATCTCCTTTGCAGCAGAGAGAATGGTCCTGGGCATGGAGAAGGAAGTGCAAGAGATTTTGAACATGTCACAGAACCTCATTCAGAAGCAAGGGGAGTGGGTACTTCTGGGTATTCACCAGACAGCGTCGAAGATGACCGTGGGCACCAACCAGTACAACCAAATCGTTTTCTATGTGAGCTCAGGGGCCCTGGTTGTGATCTTCTCCTAAGATGCATAGTTTATGTCCCCACAGAATGTAAGATCTCCCACTAGAAAGCAAGTCCCATGAAGGAAGGGATTTTTATCACTTTTTTTTTTCACTGATAAGTCTGCAGTACCCAGAAAAGTACCTGGTAGTCAGTAAATATTGACGGATTAATCCTCCCCAAGGAAGGAGGAGCTCCTACGGCAGTGATTCACAGTGAGGTGTGCTTCTCACCCACCAGAGCTATCAGAACTTTTTAGAGGGCAGGAATTTTTATTTTTAAAAAGAGGCAGTGGAAAAATTAGGAAACATTGTCTCAGGGATATTTTGACTCCAAATCCTGGTGATCTCAAAAGATCTGCCGCTGTTTTATTTTCCCTCCCACTGGTCTTGAATGTCTACGGGCAAAATCGCTAAAGATTGGACATTAAGGAGGAAACAAGCAGAAATACAAAGATAAGATGCACAAGATTTTACCTAAGAATCTGGTCCCATAGTCTTGCTGAGGGCACACGGGTAGGGATAAAAATTTATGTAGAGAAAGTTGACACTTTGGGCCAAGAAGGAATGGGATACATTTCGGAGGTAAGCAGCATGGCAGAATCAAATCCTAGAAAGGCAGACTGTGGTGGTTAAGATACTTTGATTTATTATTATTATTATTATTATTATTATTAAGGGACAGGACAGTGAAAGGGACTTGAGATAACATTTCTTTACTAGAGTTTGGTCTAGGACAAATCTCAACTCTTGCTCTCAACTGGCATGGCAGCCTCCCAGCCTACTCCTCACTTGCTCCCTCTCTCCCCCCAACCAGTTGGCCATCAGGCGCAGGACCAGGCTCTACATCATAAACCTTCTGGTGCCCAGTAGCTTTCTGATAACCGTCGATGCCCTCAGCTTCTACCTGGCGGCAGAAAATGACAATTGTGCCGCATTCAAGATAACCCTCCTGCTGGGCTACAACGTCTTCCTGCTCATGATGAACGACTTACTCCCTGCCAGTGGCACCCCCCTCATCAGTATGGCCCCTCCCTCCATTAGGAGAATAAAAGCAAGGTGGGAGGTGCCATGGGAAGAGGGACCAGTGGGACCAGGTCAGAGTGAGAAGGGATCCTAGAGAAGGACCCTCTGGGGAAAGAAGGAACAAGAAGTCCTAGATGGTGTTTCTGGCCCTCACTCAGGCCCACCTTCCATCCAGGTGTCTACTTTGCCCTGTGTCTGTCCCTGATGGTGGTCAGCCTGCTGGAGACCATCTTCATGACCCACCTGCTGCACCTGGCCACCACCCAGCCCCCACCCATGCCTCGGTGGCTCCATTCCCTGCTTCTATACTGTACCAGCTCAAGGAGATGCTACCCCACTGACCCCCAGAAGGGAAACAAGGGTCTGGGCCTCACCCTGGCCCACCTGCCTGGTGAGGGAAGTCAGCACTACCCACACTTCCTCTTCCAACACCTCCATTTCTCTGCCCCTGGATCCTTCCCTGTCCCATCCCTCCCTGGGTTACCTCTGCAGCCCATGTCTGAGTCTCTGTCTCTCCACAGCTGTGAAGGAGCCGGTGGAGTTGGCGGGGAAGGTGTCAGGTCCAGAAAAGCAGAATTAAATGGGTTCCCTGGGTCAACAAGGGCCCAGCAGGAAGATAGGGCTCAGAAGCAGCACTTGGTCAGCCTGTGGGTGCAGTTCAGCCACACGATAGACACCCTGCTCTTCCGCCTCTACCTGCTCTTCCTGGCCGTCTCTGTTGTCATGGTCGTCATCCTCTGGAACACCTAGGCAGATGCTTGCCTGAAAACCCCAATGTGGAGCTTCTCTTGCCTCCAGAAACCAGCCAGATTCTCATGCCTGTCCAAATTCTAGCCTCACAACCCTGACAACCACCTTGTTTTCAACACAGTCCTTTGAAGTTTCCAACCAGATCTGGATGATTTCCTGTGCCCTTCCAGAGTTAGGTTCTTGTTCCTGCTTGCCATCAGCTCCTCTCAGCCCTGCCACAAGTCCTGCTTGCCTGGATCCTCAGGGTATAGGTTCCTGGAATACTTCCTTGATTGAATCACCCCCAATAAACCCCTTTGCAGAAAGCATCGGCTCTTCCCTGCGTTATATTATAGTATCAAAAATCTTGAGATTGAGAGTCCTCTTGCGGAAACTTCTCATCACCAAAGTAAGAAGGATTTTCTTATTTTTTTAAAAGTCTATCAGACAACATGTGAAAGTGGGGAGAGGGGAGAGAAGAGGCCCAACTCTATTACAAAGAAATATAATAAAATAGGGATTAACCTCCTAAATCTAGTTATCCTGGATTTAAGCTTCAGAAATTAATAATGTGCCAGAACCAGGCCTCTCTTGCTTCAAGAGTGAAGCCTTTTGTCACACCCTGGCATATGACTCATTCATCATTAAACACTTAGAGTGTTAACATAATCCTGAATTACCGTTAACAGTGTCGGGGTTGCAATTAGAGTTAATGTGCCCTTAATCATACTAAATAAAGAACATTAGGCCAAGGAAAGCACATTTGAAGATGGCACCTGCTTCACTTGGGAGTAACACAAATGCCCCCATATGAACTGGAAAATTCCCCTTCTTAGCACGCGCCTATTTTGCAAGTCTTTGTCTATTGGCCCGTCTCTCCCACTGGCTGCCTGGGGGAGGTAGAGGCCCCACTGTATTGCTGTACTTGAGAGCTGTATGGTTTGCTGGACACCCAGGTTCAGAAAAGCACAGACTTGAGAGCAATTACAACTCACACATAATCTTTTACTTTTAGCAACCATTTCTTTTCCTTTTTTTCATTTATTCTGCTACTTTCTATCCCAAGTCTAAATTTCCCAGGTCAAAATAGGCCAAGAGTAAAAAGAGAGTCAGAATATTGTACACTAGGGGGCCGGCCCAGTGGCCTAGTGGTTGGGTTTGCGCCCTCCACTTGGGTGGCCCAGGGTTTCGCTGGTTCAGATCCTGGGTGCGGATATGGCACCGCTCATCAGGTCATGTTGCGGCAGTGTCCCACATGCCACAACTAGAAGGACCCACAACTAAAAATATACAACTATGTACCTGAGAGTTTTGGGGAGCAAAAGGAAAAATAAAATCTTAAAAAAAAAAGAATATTGTACACTAAACAATATTTGCCTGGCTCCTCTTCTCCACTGCTCTTCTTCAAACTCCTCCGGCTCCCTCAGAGGATGCTCAGAGGATGACAAGGCTCCCAGTGTCCACTGGAAGTGCCACTGCTTCTGTGCGGGCCCAAGGTCCTAACTCAGTGTCCGCTGCAGGAGCATCTGCCCTCTCAGAGCCCGAGCCACTGGAGGGCTGCATCCCGTGGAGGCAGATGTTCCCTGCTGGATGCTGAGTCCCCAGGCCCAGCTGTTACTTGTTCTTTCCTTGCAGTCTCCTTCTGCTGGGACTCAGGCTGGAGTCCGCGGGAACTTGGGCGTATTGAGGCAGAAATATCCCACTAAACTCTGAATTTCTCCTTGCACTCAGACCCATAGTCTTCCAGCTAAAATTATGTCCCTTAATTTTCCTTCTTTTTTCTCTGCATTTTTTTTTCCCCAGGAAGGTCTTTGGCTCCCCAGTTTCCAGAACCCTGTCAAGCACTGCCCTCACCATCACCAGTCCTCCAGCCATATCCAAGACCGAGTGTATACACAACCTAGGCTCAAATCCGGAGCCCTGACATTCACCTGAATAAACTAACGTATATGCTTATATTTTGACAGTTCTTCAACTCACAGCTTTCTACAAGGTGGGCCTTTAGAAAAGACACAGTATAGTAACAACAATAACCAACAAAATATTAAGTTATTAATCTGTGGCAGGCATGTTTCTAGGTGCTTAGATGAATAAGCACATTTAATCTTTACAGTGATCCTATGAAGTAGGAACCACAGATCCACAAACCCTTGGAGCCCAATGTGTTTTGGAATTTGGAATTTGTCAGATTTTAAAAAGGTAACAATTGTGCGTGAATTATACATTATGAACACCCCAAGTAGGGTATGTGGCAGCACCCTGTAATCAAACACATTAACATCTCTGCAGTGGAATCTGTGAGTAGCCTCACCAGATGGCAAAAATGAAACTATAAATAGTCTCACCTCTGTTCAGGTCAGGTTTTGACACCAAATGATTTGTGAAAAATTGTTTGGTTTTCAAAGCTTTCTAGGTTTTAGAACTGTGGTTGTGTATTATTATCATCCTCATTTTGTATAGTCAAATAAATGAGATGAAATAAATGAGAGAATGAAGCACAGAGAGGTAAAGTGACAGCCGGGGAGCTGTCCCCTAAGGTTCCACAGCGAGGTACGTGACAGAGCTACAGTCTGAACCCCGGCAGGATGACTCTAGACATGGACTCTTCCCCTTTGCCACACTGCCCTCCAAACTGAGGTTGAGAACCAGACAGGTTCCCTAAGGGTCCCATGTTGCGACGTCAATACCACTTCAAGTCTTTATCAGTTTATCAGCTAACACTTTAGGAGAATTAAAAGAGAAAGAGCACGTCCCTAAGACCAACTTTCTTTTAAATTTCCTTTTACTGCCTCCCTCAGTGTTCCCAGCTCCTCACCCCCTCCCTCCACACCCCCATCATAAGTCGTCACACTCAGGTTCACTACTTGCACTTTCTCCTCTGCTTTCTGGAGTGCATATCTCCCCAAATGTGATCTGGGCAATCCATCTTTCCTCGTGTTCTCTATGGATTTAGTTTTGCAGCTGCTATCTATTGCCAGATACCTTTGTATCTGCACTCCCATCCTGAAATAGTCATCGCACCTGGAAACTCATCCTTGACTTTGCCGAGTAGCTCATTTACCCAAATTTTGAGGGGTTCTGAAATTGCTTAAGATCAATTTGCTTGCTTTTCTTTTTTCCACCTTTCACGATGCATATTTCTCTGCTTATTTTCTTCACGTTTTTTCCCAACATGTAGTTTTAAGTTTTCTTTGAACAGAAAAATGTAATTTATCTTTTTTGACACAGGAATTAAGATGCTATATCTCCTTTCAGTAAGAGAAGGCATGATATCATTATGGTGATTTTATTTTCTCCTAAAGCAAACTCTGAACACGGGATCTTAACATATAACTGAGAATCACACGGAACCTTTGAAACTAGAGTTCTCCCAGAAAATTAACAGGTACGGTCGCTGCCTTTCAGTTTCATCTATAACACAATCATATGATAAGCACACTTTGTGCTAATGACTTTCCTCTTGTTATGTGGCAAGCCTCTGAAAGGTTTTGCAAGGTAGTTTATGACCTTTTTAGAAAAATCTGCTGACAAGCACTGGTCCTGCCTGGGCCATCTTGCATTTGATGCAAGATTTGATTTGATGGCCACCCTGCGGTCCTTGCAACATTTTTCTTCACTTTCTTTTTCTCTAAATCAATATAAGCAGTATTTCTCCGTGGTTTCTATGTTTTCTTTCAGTTCCATATTAACCTGACATTGAAATTTATCATCTCATTACCGTCTCTGCCTCCCTCTCCTCCTCCTTCAGACCCATTCTGGGATGCGAAGGCACAGACTTCATTTCAAGCCTGTCCTTTTCCTTCTCTCTAACTTCTGATCCTCCCTCTGAGAACCTCTCTTGTTTGATTATTCATTGGCACTGGTTCTTCTATATAGCAGAGAAAAAAATAGTATAGTATAGTATAGAGACTTTGAAAGCTGGCAGCCCTGGGTTCTAACGGCGAGCTGGGTAACCTTGTACAAATGACTTAACCTTATAAATTTAAATTCCTTCATTTGTGAAATAGAGCTAATAACACAGACTAAATTATTTTTACAATATAGATTTTAAAAAATCTTTTATAAGTTTACAGAAACTAAAGACCCAAATGTGACACAACATCAATTTATCACGTAGACTGAGACCTAGTAATCCCAAATCCACTTCTGGGTGGGAGACAACAGATGTAAAGAATTACAGACTTTCTGTATTCAACTCCCTCATTCTTTAGATGAGAAAAATGAAGTGGAGAAAAGTGAAGTGGTAAGTATGGGGCTGTCATACTTCAAGAAAGCCTGGGCTCAGAGCCTGGACCGTTAAAGTGGCAGCTACAGGTGAATGTTCGTCAATGGCACTCTTTCCAGGTGCTTTTCCAGAGTCCCAGGACCTTTCCTCTCTCCTGCTCCAGACACCACAGCCAGCCTGACCTCAGCTATGACCCACCCTGCAGTTTGGATGTTTCGGCTGCCTCCCGTGGTCCTTAGCCCTGGCCTCTGTACGTGATCGCCATCCATCAGGCCTGCAAAACCATGGCTCTCGTTTCCTCCTTCCAACATCTGATTCTGCCCTTGCTAGATTGCAGCTATATTCTCAAACCTGATCCCCCAGGGTCCCAGTGAATGGGGCCACAGAGGGCCATGCGGTATGATTCTCTTGGAACAAGCTAAGGAGAAAGGTGTTGGTATCTGTGACTTGCAAAACTACAGCTCCTGTCTCCACTGCTTACCTTTGGATTTAAGCCTTGTCTAGGCCCTGGGATTTCACTGGTGAAACCTAAGAGCCTCATAATCCAGTCCACAAGACTTCCCAGATATGGAGTAATGAAAAGAGCAAGGAAAGAACAATGGAATCAGATTGACCTGGGTTTGAATCTAGATTCTACCAATTTCCACCTAGGTGGACACTGAGCGAGACTTTTTTTTAACCTCTCTGAGCCTCAGTTTTCTAATCTGTAAAATGGAAGTTACAGTACTGACCTCTCAAAACACTTGTGAGGATACCTAACACAGTATAGGGCACATGGCACAAACTCAGTGAATGG